TTGCTCATTTTAGCCACTCTGACTGGTGTGAGGTGGTATCTCAGTGTGGTTTTGATTTGTATTTCCCTGATGAGGAGGGATGCTGAGCATCGTTTCATGTGTCTGTTGGCCATCTGGATGTCCTCTTTGGAGAAGTGTCTGTTCATATCTTCTGCCCATTTCTTCACTGGGTTGTTTGTTTTTCAGGTGTGGAGTTTGGTGAGAGCCTTATAGATTTTGGATATTAGCCCTTTATCTGATATGTCATTTGCAACTATCTTTTCCCATTCCGTTGGTTGCCTATTAGTTTCGTGGGTTGTTTCCTTTGCTGTGCAGAAGCTTTTAATCTTGATGAGGTCCAATCATTTATTTTTGCTCTTGATTCCTTTGCTTTTGGGGATGTGTCAAGTAAGGAGTTGCTGCGGTGGAGGTCAAGGAGGTTGTTTCCTGCTTTCTCCTTTAGGGTGTTAATAGTTTCCTGTCTCACGTTCAGGTCCTTTATCCATTTTGAGTTTATTTTTGTGCATGGTGTGAGAAAATGATCTAGTTTCATTCTTCATGTTGCTGTCCAGTTCTCCCAACACCATCTGTTAAAAAGGCTGTCTTTTATCCATTGGATATTCTTTCCTGCTTTGTCAGAGATTAGTTGGCTGTATACATTTGGGTCCAGGAGAGCGAGAGAATCTTTTTTTTTTTTTTTAATTTTTTTTAATAGTTTGTTTATTTTTGAGACAGAGACAGAGCAAGAGCGGGGAAGGGGCAGAGAGAGAGGGAGACACAGAATCCGAAACAGGCTCCAGGCTTTGAGCTGTCAGCACAGAGCCCGATGCGGGGCTCGAACCCACGAACCGTGAGATCATGACCTGAGCCAAGGTTGGACGCTTAACCGACTGAGCCACCCAGGCGCCCCGAGAGCGAGAGAATCTTAAGCAGGCTGCATGCTAGGTGTGGAGCCTGATGTGGGGCTCAATCCCTGGGGTTCATGAACTGAGCCAAAATCAAGAGTTTGGACGTCTAACCGACTGAGCCAGCCAGGCACCCCAATAAACTTTTTTTTTCAAGCAGTTTCAGCTTTACAGAAAAACTGAGCAAAAAGTACAGAGTTCCCATATATCCATTTTTTTTTGAAGGATCTACATTTTTTCCCCCAGGGTATTTCACTACATATGATGTTATACACATAACAAAGGACTTTACATCTGTGAACCAAAGATGTACTGTAAGAGGGAAAAACCATATACTACTAAAAATCATTTTACTCTAACCTAAGGTTTCCCATCAGCAGTATTACCATTTTAGGCCTGATAATTCTTTGGTGGGGGATCTCTTCTGTGCATTGTAAATGTTTTTTAGCATCCCTGATCTCTACCCATTAGATGCCAATAATATTCCCTAGTTGTGACCACCAAAAATCTATCCAAATGTTGCCAATGTTCCTTGGGAGGCACATTGTTCCCCAGTTGAGAACCATTTGCTCTAACCAGTTGATGATGTCTTAGTATTTGCTATATTTTTTTTAGGTAGGGCTCAGATTTAAGGGGTCTTTAGTTCAAGGAGTTGTAGAGAGAGTTAGAATCTTCCCTTCCACTTGGACAGTAGGCAATATAACAGTTTTACTGAGATTCAGTTTCCTTAACCCTAAATAGGTAAAATATTACCTGATTGAAAGGTGGTTTTGATAGTTGATTGAGATAGATTATATAAAAAACTTTAATTTTAAGTGTTGTGCTATCTTGTTTTGAGATTTTTTTTTAGAAGTTCCAAAGAATACCCATTAGAGTTTGTATTTCTGTGGGCAAGGCTATCGTAGTTTGGGATCTACTATTTATGAACTTCAAAAATATTCTTACTGTGGGTAGATAAAAACTTTAAATGTTCAACGAAGACTCCTTTATGAGGTCAGTTGTGGTTTTTATTTTTTTATTATTTTTTAAATGTTTATTTTTGAGAGAAAGGGCAGAAGCCAGGGAGGGGCAGAGAGAGAGACACACACACACAGAATCTGAAGTTGACTCTAGGCTCTGAGTTGTTGGCACAGAGCTCAACGCTGAGCTCGAACTCCCAAACTGTGAGATCCTGATCTGAGCTGAAGTTGCATGCTTAACAGACTAAGCCACCAGGCACCCCAGTTGTGTTTTGACTCTTTGTGGTGCTCTAATTAGATGGTCACTATATTAAAGTTGTAACAGTTCAGTGATCTCCTGTATTCTTTTAAGGACTTTAAGCTTCTCAAATTGAGGATAGCATCAGTTGTCAGCCAATCACATTGTCCTTCAAAGTTTGTCTTTATATCTGAAGTCCTGCCAATTGTGACAGCTTGTGTGTCTGCTCCAATAGAGGAAGTTAGCTTCTATCAGCATGTACTTAGTCCACTTAAAGACTTCTAAAAACTTTGCCCAGTTTACAACTAATAATGTCCCCTTCCCATTGCTACTTTATAGAATTATAAAACCTTGTTCACTAGTGATGAAATCTTATCTGTAATATTTAAGCTGCTTCTTATTTTTCTACCCCTGCAGAAAATTTCCAAAGACCTCAAGAAGATAGGAAAATTATCAGAAAGGCAGTAGCGCCATTACACTGTAAGTATTGCTTTGAAAAACAAATGTAAGTTAAGAATATTTTAAGTATCCAGTTCTAGGGGAAAATATGTTAGGCAAAGATATTATATGTAAAATATAGAGCAGGATATATTATAATCGTATTAATAATTCATAGGAACTAATCCAATACAGTCTTTTAAAAATTGAAAATGTATTCCTATGTATTGAGATGAGGATTTTACCAATAGCATTGAAAAATATTTCTAATTCTAACAAGGATTGATCTAGTTTATGTACATTTGCTTATTTAAAACTATCAGAATCCAGAAAATCATTGTAATTTTTTGGGCTTGTGATTTGTTTGGGTGACTTATTGTTTAGGTTATTTTGCAGAATTATTTATTTGCTGATTTATTTATGTATTTCATTATTTATTTATTTGATTATTTAGTAAATTATTTATCTGATGAATTATTAATACATCTTCATGACATGCTTTAAATTATTTATAACTTAATTTTGAGTTTATTGCTTTTAGAGGCTGCATTGTTACTGACTAGTTTTGATTTTTTTCTTTGCGGTTCTTTAAAATTAAAGTATTAGCTCTAAGGCAAAAGTGTATTCATTGCAATGGCCATGGGTTTTTCTTTCTTTTTTTTTTTATGTAATTTATGGTAGAGATGAAATTTCAGTTATGCTTTGTTTAGCTCTGAATTTACCTGTTTAGGGTTACTGATGATAGAATGTTTATGTGTTATGTACATACTCATTGTAGAGTCACTAACACATTAATGTTATAGCCTATAGTATGTAAACTGAGATTGAACTTGTCAACCTCAGTCCACATTATCCTTTGTATCTCTAAAGCGCAGGTCTGCATTTCTCACTTGCTTCAGAATAATGAATAGAGTCTCATTTTATTTTAGTGGCAGATCTATTTTACTACTAGGATATTTTTAGGAAAGTTCAAAGAAATAAAGTCCAACTTAGATTTGCATCCCTGAGATATAAATTTGACTGATGTAGCCTTTGTTTTTAAAACTTAACATTGTATGTGTATTTGGCAAACAAGAAGATGTTGGTATAGATTTTTATATCAGTCATAGTGACATATTTATTCCATATTCATATCTCGTGATGGAAAGTTTTATACTACTTTATTTTAATGAACTAAAATGGACGAGGGCCTTTGTAAATACAGGCTATAATTTCTCTGATTTTAGCTAATAATTTTTTTGTAAAGTTTCTATTTTTAACCAAATAAGGTATTTCTTCTTTCTGATTCTATTTCATAAGGTAGTACAGTTATTAGGGCTCTCTTCTTAAATGGGTTTAATGAATAGGTTAAGTAGTTGTTTGGGTAAAAGAATGTCATGTGCACAACTAAGTCTTCTGTGTTTGCTTGTAGTGAATTACTGTGTACTTTACAGTTTCTCTTTTTTATTTTTTTAATGTTTATTTCTGAGAGAGAGAGAGAGAATAGGAGAGGGTCAGAGAGAGGGAGACACGATCTGAAGCAGGCTCCAGGCTCTGAGCTAGCTGTCAGCACAGAGCCCGACGCGGGGCTCGAACCCGTGAACAGGGAGATCATGACCTGAGCCGAAGTCGGATGCTTAACTGACTGAGCCACCCAGGCGCCCCGTACTTTACAGTTTCAACATTTCAGAGAGAAGCAGCATTGTACAGTTCAAGTTAGAATTTTATTTTGAGATACTGAATACATGAATGTTTAATTGGAATATTGCTTTAGTATCTTCATATACTTGTCTTAAAGGAAATGGTTTCATTTTATTGACACACATGGATTTAAAAATGTGTGTATTATACGTATCTGTGACTTCTGTTTTGGAGATGAGCAATTACAAATATTGTCAGATATGGAATTTTATTTCAAAACGCACTTTAGTATGCCACTGTGGACTTTTTGAAGAAAAAAGCCACCTTCTCCAATGTTGAATAAGATCTATGTTAATTGTCATGATAATATACATAGCTACACTATTAATACATATTTGTGGAGTATTAGCTGTGTTTCTAAGTGGTCTTTGTTGGAAAGTAAACGTGTGTGTACACACATGCACACACATGGGAAGTTTTCTCCTGATATCTACATAATGTTTTAGGACTTGTTTTTGGAAGGAGATATTAATGGAGATTGTCATAATAACAGCCAGCATTTATTTTTATTTTTTTATTTTTTATAGTTTATTGTCAAGTTGGTTTCCATATAACACCCAGTGCTCATCCCACAAGTGCCCTCCTCCATGCCCATCACCCCCCTCAGCCCTCAGTTCTCACTCAGAATTCAAGAGTCTCTCATGGTTTTCCTCCCTCCCACTCCCCAACTATTTTTCCCCATCTCCTGCTTCATCCTCTGTTAACTTCCTCCTAATCTACCTATATGTGCAAACATATCATATTTGTCCTTCTCTGCCTGACTTATTTTGCTCAGCTAACACCCTCAAGTTCCATCCACGTTGCTACAAATAGCCAGATTTCATTCTTTCTCATTGCCATGTAGTATTCCATTGTATAAATATACCACATCTTCTTGATCCATTCATCAGTTGATGAACACTTCAGTTCTTTCCATGTTTTGGCTATTGTTGAAAGTAACAGCTAGCATTTATTGAGCACTCATGTGCAGGTACAGAGATGTATAAGAGATCACATGGATTCTTTGTTATTCTTCACAGTGAGATAAGTACAGTTACTGTCTTCATTTTCTGAATAAGGAAACAGAGACTTGGAGATGTTAAGTAACTTGCTCATTGCCACACACTTGGCAGTAAGTTTTGGTCCTAGGATTCCGACTCCCTGAGTCTGGCTCTTCAGGGTCTTTCTTAGCCCATTACAGTTTTGCTTGTGTAGTTTATATTAAGCAGGTTGTTTGTTTTTTTAATTTTCCATTTTTTTTTTTAAGAGAATGTAGTTATTTATCTCAGATAGGTTTAACTTGCTAAGTATATTGTTCTTTGTGTTACACTTGGACATCTTTTTTAAACAGGAGACAGAACTTGAGCTTCTTGAATTTTCTGATTTGATTCATCTTATAATCCTGTATAGTGGGCCAGAGTTATGTAAAGATTTTGTGCCTTAGGGAAATTGTATGGTTTACCTTGTAGATGTCCAACACTCCGATCTTTTTGACTTTATAAGCCCAAGGTCATTTCCAGGGCTCTCTTAGGTCAAATCTGATTTCCTTATTTAAAATGGTATTGTCAGAGTTAGATACATATATATTGTTGAAAGACTGATTAAGAGTCTGATGTGTAAGCTTTTATAGGAATGACCACAAACGTACTATTAAATTAACTCTAAATATGGTGTTTAATATACAGTTAAGCATTTTAACACGTGCATGCAAAGAATGAGAAAATAACCAATGGCAGTTTTAAACATTTAAATGTAATTATTTAAAAGATTCTACGGAGCCTCTGAGAGAAAGGAAAAATGTTGTTAATTTGGTGTGAGGCTAAGAGAATGGGATCTTTCTATTTGCTACCTGAAGACAAGGGGAAGCCTTTCTCACTGGGTCTGAAGCACACAAAGGACATCAGAAAGCCGAGCTAGAGTTAGACAACGGCAGAGTTGGGGTGATGTTGGTATGAGTGCCCTAAGGGGCTGCGTTTGAATGAACAGCAGGGTGCTGTGTGAGTCACTCAAAGTTTTAAGTTAGGGTTTTCAGATAAATAATTACTATTACATCATAAAATCTCCCAAACCCATGATTTAGTTAATATGAAATACTGTAATAGCTAGGATGACCATATAATTTATCTTCCAATTCAGGACACGCCATTACTAGTGCTGTAGTAATCTCACATGCCTGTTAAGTAATTCCTAATAGCCTTACATAACATATATTTAAGAGGAATCTTAATTCACATCTAGTATCTTGAAAAATGTTTGATTTGATGATAAAACTAACTTCTTTTGCTAGTATTTGTGTTTTCATTAGCCAACCACAGCAGTGTGTGGCTATGACTTTTATAAAGTCTGACTGATGATGTTTCACAGCTTCTGGAGCCTGTTTTCAAGGTGAAAGTAAAGAGGTGTTGCTATTGGGAACAGAAAGATGAGGATAGCAAAATTGCTCACGGGTTAGTAGAGAGTTCTAAAGTTTCTCGTGATATGCATTACAGGGTATTCAGTGATCATTTTGCCTTGTAAGTCTTTTAATTGGAGGCATATTTAATGTACTGAAAATGAATCCTATTTGATATACCTACAGAATTTATGATTTTATGTTGGATGATCCAGTAGTTCCCCTCCCGCCCTCCCCCCCAAAAAAAACCCAACACCATGTTACATGTCCTGTATATTGATGGGTTGACAGTTTGGCCAGAATGTTTTTGAAAATCACTATTTTCCCTTGGTGAAATTTTGTATAGGAAAATAGGAATCTCTAGAAAAGGGTTGTTTTTTTGTAGTTTTCTTTTTAATTCCCACTTGACATTATTTATCTAAAATGGCATATTACACTATTAAAGTCATATAATTAAATTATTAAAAGTTGCAGTTTATTTGCGTTTATAGATGGTTTAAGTTGAACCAGGTAACCACACTGGCATATTTTTTTTTTCTTCACACTGGCATATTTATGTTTGAATGTAAAGTAAAAAAGAAACATTCTTGTGCAATAATTCTTTTTTTCTTTTTAAATATTTTTATTTATTTCTAGGAGAGAGAGAGAGAGACAGCGTGAGCAGGGGAGGGTCAGAGAGAGAGGGAGTCACAGACTGAAACAGGCTCCAGGCTCTGAGCTGGCAGTCAGCACAGAGCCCGACGCGGGGCTCGAACCCATGAACCGTGAGATCATGACCTAAGCGAAAGTCGGACGCTTAACCGACTAAGCCACCCAGGTGCCCCTCTTGTGCAATAATTCTTATTCATTCATATGAATAACATCAGAACTCTTTTTGCTCAGAAAGGCCTATTATACCTGATAACAAAAGAAGAACTTCCTTATATTCTTCCTTGAGTTTGTCACAGTACAAAGTACTTTGTAAAATACTACTGTGGTTGTAAGAGTAATA